TCACACAACACTGTGAGCATGCGCGCTGGAGTTTCTCGAAGGATCATGAATTTTCCTGGCAACTCTAGTTTGTTCCAAACGCCCTCTTTTTAAGTATATAAGCCCGGCAAATAAAGCCAGCGAAAAAAGATAGAATTGTATAGATAGATATAGAGATATATAATTGAGTCGAGCCAACAGTAGGCACCGTAAATAAAGTGTGTGAATCGCTGTGAAATATAGCGTGTGTTTATAAAAGTAGTTAAGTTAAAGTGACTGTGGAAATTCTGTGTATTGCAAAGTTGTACCGAGAAGGAATAAACGAGTTTTATTTTAGAAAAGACTTGTATCGCTGAAGTTCCTCGGAAGGAATTTTTACCGGAAATTAATAAACTAACAGAGACGTAACAGTATTAAATCACCAATGCCCTGTTCTGGAATGTTTAGATATCATTTTCAATGACGAGGAACCCACTTTGAGAATAATAATGCTTGGAGACGGCTTGGATGGGTAATGAAGAAAAACTTTAATATAAGTTTAACATAACAGCAAATGTACAACGTTTCGATGATGATGACAAAACCATGTCATTATTAATACCATACTCTCAATAAAAGAAACGGAATGTATGACACGCGAGTTAAAGAAAGGGACGTAATTTCAACGGAGGAGGTTTACCAATATTAAGAGTCGTATTGACGTTCACAGTATTTTTATGATATGTTTTATGCTAAATCTTTCAAGTAAATTAATTCAGAAAGTTCAAAAATGAAAGCAGTTTTTCAACACGTTTCCGATCCAGAAACTAAAGTTTCACAGTTTGTTATCGATAATAACGTAAGTGAATGTTCAACTGCACATTAGCAATATTATTATCAACTACTGAACTAGAGACTACATCCTGATTAGTGTACTGTTATTAATACTAACAGTAACAGTGTGAAGCTCAGTTAGTAATAGAACTAAATAAATCAGTAGTACGAATTCGAATCAAACTGCATTTTGCAACATTATTATTATTATACTTTATTATTTATACTGAGTATAATTTGTAGTTGTACTTAGGTTAAAGAACATAAGACTCATTAACTTAAGAGATAGAAAAAATACTTCAAGTTCATGTTGTCAAAAAAAAAAGTGTAAAACATGCCTGAGCCTTACAAGTTGCATGAAAATGTAAAGGGTTAAAAACACATATTTTGTTTAGAATTTGTGGGTTGGTGATGACTAGCTGCCTTCCCTCTAGTCTTTCACTGCTAAATTAGGGACGGCTAGTGCAGATAGCCCTCGTGTAGCTTTGCACAAAATTCAAAAACAAACAAACACAATCTTGAAGGAGGTGCAGAGACCTATGTTTCTGCCCTACCATTCACCTCCTTTCTTTTTACCAGTTTCTTATTGAACTTTCATAATCCTTCAATACTTAATAAAATCTCTTGGGCTACTCTTTTACCAACGAATAGTGGGATTGACCATCACATTATAACGCTCCCACAGCTGAAAGGGCGAGCATGTTTGGTTGGATGGGGATTTGAACCTGCGACCCTCAGATTGCTTGTCGAGCGCCATAACTGCCTGGCCATGCCGCAGGATTGTGTGTTGGTTCTGTAATGGTAGAATAATTACGTGTGTGTTACTACTTGTATTAGTTGTAGGGTTAGGTGTGGCATTCGAATGGGTTATATTTAGGTTAAGCTGGTTTCTTTGTTGAGTGACATCAAACTGAGGAATGGCCTTCTGTCACCTAGTCTTAATGTAAACAGACACACAAAAAATTATTTTAACAAATGCATGGGAGATCTAACTCTGAGACAAAGTTTTAGAAAGAAACAAACACTGAACATGATAGTAATAAAATCTAAGAAAGCTTTATTTTGACATAACTTTGTGTCAAGTTAAAGTTTTCTTATATTTTATTACCTTTGTATGTAGTGTTTTTTTTGTTTCTTAAACTTAGTTTTAATATAAGACTAATGGTGCTTTCTTTGGAGTAAAGTGAGCAGATTTAATAAGGTAAAATTTTCCCCAAATGAAATAGTGTTGATTATCTAGCAGAATTTTAAGCTTTCTTTACTGAATTTCCAAAGTATCTTTTATCAGAAGTATATCTCTCTCAGGAGTTTTAACATTCTTTTAACTTACCAAGTTTTTCTTAACAAACTCGTAATTAATGGGATCATTTTGTTCAGTCATTCTTCCATCTAACAACTGTTCAGAATGAAGAATGTTGCTTAAATTTTCATTAGTAAAACTGAAAACAGAGTATAATTTAGTAACCTAGCCATCTTATAATCATTGGAATTGAGTCTCCCTTTATTATTCCTTAAATGCTTTTTTCCCATTTTAACATTTTTGCATAATTTTGAGATATTAAAAAAAATTCTTGCTGCTAATTTTTACATTTTCACCTGAACTTTCTTCATATCACCATTTTGATTTAGTTATGCCCAGTTTCACCAACTCTCTTTGATCTTCTATAATCCTCTAAGTCTACCATCTTAGCAGTCAGTTTGAAAGTTTAAATTTTATAATGCTTTCTTTAATTTTATCCCTCATAGTCTTTGTGAGCCAACCTAGTCTTTTAATTGCAGCTTTTTTTTTTCTGTAAGGAACTTGTCTGTTCTGAATATTTAAACTTTTTCCAATTTTTATCAGTATCTCCAATTAATTCAATTGCACAATTTACAATATATAATTTAATTTAATTATCATTATTTACATTAGAATGAAATCAAAACATGGCACCCAACAATATCAGTAAAAACTGTTTGGATAAGTCAAAATATAAAATGATTTAAACAGAATGACACTACATTTTACTAATACACCATACCAGCTCACTTTCACTACTTGGTGAAGGAGTTTGGTAAACTTGAACTAAAGAGCTTGGTAGGATATCTAGAGCAAAGAGGATGTAGAGGATAACAAGTTAAGTAATAATGTTAAAGATAAGTCTATCAGATTTAAAACTAAACATAAATGATTAACCCTATCATACCTAGATGGGTGCATCCTATATTGAACTAAAAAATTATAGAAAATATACTTGTAGTTGCTCTTCCACACATTTAAAAACAAAACATGTCTGGGTAGAAATTTATTTAATAAGTTTTAATTATTTAATTTTACACATAGAGTAAAATATGACATTTTTTTATTTCAGGTTGATTTCAGCTCACTCCATATAAAATAATTAGTGTTTGTGAATGTCTTGAATTTTTCTAAGATGATACAGCACTTGTAGCACCCTAGAGGAAAAGTCATTATAGTTTTGAGCAAAGTAGTGCTCCTTTGACTTTGTAACTTGAATACATACAAGTGTAGTTTTATCCATTTTACCCAGTTGTTGTTTCTTAACTTCTGTTTGTGAGATAGTGAATTCTACTTTTATTTTGTTCTGGTTTTGTTTCCCATTCATTTATTATTCCTTCTATTGTTTAATTCAACTAGGAATTTTTAGTTACATTAAAGTGCTAACTCACTTTCTATCTAGATCATGCTAATTTGTGTATGTATTAAGAAACTGACACCAGCTTCCTGTACCAGTGACATACAGATATTAATGTTATGAAATATTATGTAGATTTATGGATATAGCTAGTTACATGAGATGTAACCTTGTGGTCTAACCTCTAAATAAAAGGCTTTCCTTGATCTTGAAAATGAGTTAGTTTGCAAGATATAGTTGGAAAGAATTATTGTTAATTATTGCTTGATATTGTTCATGAAGTTGAGAAGTTGGTTAATCTTGAAATATTGTGTTATTCTCTGATGATTTAGAATTTTTATTTTTCTGGTTATTTTTTCGTAATTCCTTTGATATTTATTAAAATTAATCACATTGAGATTTATGTTGTATTGCTTATTAATATTTGTATCTAGTCCTGGCCAAACATGTTCTAGTTGTTTGAAAGTTTTATTTTGGATTTCTGTTGTTATATTTTAATAAATTGTTTTTACTTGACCCTGGTTATAGTGGTGTTTTGATTAGACCATTACATATTGCCATGTGATGATGTAATTATCTTTATCTCGGTTTTGAGAAGGAATAGATTAGCAACCTAAACACACAATTAACACTTTTTTTCTACATTATTTTCAACAGTCTAAGTTAATATGGCTTCCAGTTCAGTGAAGGTTCAGGCAGAATTAAAAATAAAGTAATAAAGGCTTTGCTTGGTGATATGTTGTTAGAAGATCTTTGTGAATAACTTTTGCCACAATTACAATTCAGATTTTTATTCAATAGAGTGCAAAAAGCTTACTTTATCATTTTATACATCATTTGAACTATGATGCTGCAATGTGTAAGGAAATGTTTTTTATAGAACAAGATATGGTAGGCTTAGTTAAATCATTTTCGACTCAACTGTATTGAGCTTTGTTTCATCAGCAAAACCATAGTGTTAGACATTATCGCCAGTATAACTAATTAAATGGGCAAAGAAAATCATAAAAAGAAATGTAAGAAAAAATATATAAATGAATGTAAAATGGATTTAAAACTTATTACATATGTTAAATGAAACCTTCTTATTAACAATCGCAACAGAAAATGGTAGCTTCCCTATAATTTTGGTATGGTAAAATAGTTATTTTTGTAGTTAGCAAGTGAATTTCAACATAGTGAAAATGCATGGGGTATTGTTTTTATAATAAAAATAAATCTAGTTTTATAAGAATGTAGGAAGACATAAAAATAAATAATTGTAATCTAAAACAAAACTTACTATTTTTAATTATTTCTTGAAAGAACATATCACAGTGAAATCTTTTTCAAGTTTTTAAAGCTATGAATTCCTTTAAATATCAGATATAAATTAATTTTATTTACAAAAGGTATATAATATGATCTGTAGAAAGTTAATCTCAAGTTTTGAACTGTTTCACACATTTGTGTGTGTGCAATGTAAAAGAAAAAACATACAACAATTTCATTGAATTGATGCACCAAACCAAGTTACATAGTCTTTACCCAAACAGTGATATGATATTCTTGGCTAATATTCTTTGTGGCACCTATCAGAGGTTTTTGACAATCTAAGTAGACCAAGTTCATATCCTTTCAGTGATCTTGATAACATAAAATATCCTTAAAGAAGTTCAGATATGAGGAAGACTTCCATTTAATGAATCTGTGTTGGCACTCTTATGATATCGTATTTCTCCAAATGTCTTTGCGTAACACTCTCTTATATGACTTAAAACTTTCCCTCTACAAAAGTATGAACTACTAGCCTATAATTTCCCAGGTAACGTTTATCACACCTTTAGAAATGGTAGCAGCATTAGCAACTCTCCAGTTCACAATCAATTGCCATCTGTCCATTGATTTATCAAAAATTACGAAAGAAGATCACGTTTGAATTTTGAACTCCTTTAACCTTTTGAATATGACCTACTTACATTGAAAATGGACATGGCTGACCTTAAACTTAGGAATATTAGAATGTTGTTTCACACAGGGAGAAATTCTTGGAAGTTTTCCTCCAGCTAATGAGAGACAGCTGGAACTGTACTTTAACTGTCTATGCTGACAGTCTATATTAGTTACTCATAGTTTCTTGTGTAAGAGCTCTTAAACTTGAGAACTTTAACCACATGACACTAAAAACTTCAGTTTTAATTGCTATTTCAGATTTTTCTTTTTAAAATAAAGGAATAAAACTCAGATAATATAAAACCTTAAATTATAATGTACTTTATAATAGTAACTTTATTAAAATACATTTATAGTAAAGTGGTTTAATCCAATTTTGAATTTAACTCAGTAAAATCTCATGGTATGTACAGAAAGGAGTTTAAAGTGTGAGCACGGTCAAAGGGCTAAAACCATGTGAAAAATTCTGTGTATTATTTCTTTTTATATAACACCAAGGGATTAATATCTACATGGTTCAGGTCAATTCCAATATTTCTCATAGAATGCAAAGAGTCAGGAGTAATGACAACATCCTTTCTTGTAAAAAAAGGAAGAGAAAAAAACATTGAAAAACTCAACCATCTCATAGTCTCCAATGAAAAACACTTGCTATCAACTTCTTTTAACACTATAGACACAAGTCACATGTCAAAGGCCATCTCATCACATTTGTAAACTCACATTCAAAATATTATTGAACTACTATTTTATGGAAGTATGTCAATAAGTTTGGTTTAATATTTTACATTAGTCAGCTTCTTAATTTAAATGTCAGTATAAAAAATATTTTAAATATTGATTTTTTTCATGTCACATGGTATATTGAATGCAACATAGGTTCATATTAGATGTTTTTGATGTCCAGATACAAAGTCTGTAGTTTCTTATGAATTAGGAACTCAAATTACCAATATTGACAAGCTAGAATGACGTGTATAACCAGTCGAAAGCCCAGAATGTCCCTTAGTGGCTTTCTCAGCTGCTTTGAAGTATTTGGACAGCAAACTTTCTTTTGATGCTAGATTCCAAGCAGTAAGGTAAGACATTAGTGAGCTTGAAATTTCATATATTTTTAGACCCAAATACAGCTTATTTACTAAGCTTGATAAATTTTCATGGAATTCTATAGTATTGATATAGTAATTTATGATTTTTGGTTATTTCAAAACGTATACATAAAACCTAAAAAAAAAAATTATTTTGTTTCACATCCTCCATTTGTGAAATTTGATAAGGCTTAGCAACCTACAGCAAGCAGCAAATGAGTATAAAGTTCATAACTAGTAGAGATAATTGTTTTCTATAATACTTTATTTAGTGTTCTATGTTTTAAGAAAAATAAGTTTAAGAACTTATGTTAGCCAGGCACGGCTGAAAGGTCAATATAATCAAAATAATAAATATTTATAAATGTATAATGTTATGAGTTTTAAGCTATTTAGACTCAGCATTTGTGTTTTCATGTTATAATATCTAGGTATTTTAGAATGAGAAAAGCATAATTTATATTTATTTCCTAATTTTTATGGTGGTTATGAGGTTGGTCAAATCGAACCAACACGTACAGAGATACAGTAGTGAAAATAACAGATAAATATAAAGTTTTTTTCTAAACAAATGTTTGATAATTATCTGGAGGTTATAATGATTTTGCATTTGAAATTTGAAAATTTTCTGATGCATAAAAAGTATTTTTAATCTTAAAATCAAAATTACTTTGCATATTGGATAGTCAACTTTTGAAAAGAAAAAAGGCATGAGAAAAATGTAGCTCAAAAAATCTGATATTTTGCATACAAAAGCCTTGTAATGTTTACTGACAATATGCAAAATTTCATGAAGATATGCTTACTGATTTAAAGGTTATGGCATGAAAACTATATCAAGCACAAAATATTTACTAGGTTGGTCCCTGGGACTGAGCCCACATTGAGAGAGTTAAGGACCCAACCCCCATTTAAACATTCTGCTTACCTTTAAGGTACTTAAAAAATTACACAGGCCTGTGATGGTTTTATTGTCTTGAAATTTTTACATGTTGAACAGTAATTTCTGTATGCTGAATCTGAAAATGATGTCCATTTTTCTCCATCATGTACAGATGTTTCACTAAATATCTTGTATACTTTTACATAAATGAATCATTTTCATTCAAATCGGATCAGATTTTGTTTTGCTTTAAATGTTGACAACCACTGGTTATAGATTTCTCTAGACCAATCACGCTGTGAGAGTCTTATCAATCATTCTAGAACCCAAACATAAAAAACATAATAATAATATAAAATGTTCATTGTGGTAAACCAAATAATTATTTGATCTAAGTAAGAGTTTTTCTTCATAATTTGTAAAAAATCCTTATGTGATAGAAAAAAAAGAATATTATTTTCAAAATCTGTTTGGCTGAATTATGGAAAATCTGTTATTAAAACCAAAACAACTTTTATGAAGTTTAAATTTGCAGGCCTGTGTTATTGCTGTTAGGTTTTACAATAATCAGCCTACTGTTTCTTGTATGCTCTTTATCTGATTTCCTAATTTTATTTTTAACCAAAGTTCTTGTTTTCCTGTAATTCTGTAAACTTTCCATCCTATCTATCAACTTAAACTTCTTAAATTTATGGTACTTATCTCTTGATGTTTTCCTATATGTTCATAGTCAGCAAATAAGATTTGATCTTTGCCCTTATAATTTTCTCTTTTTCCTTCATTTTGGCTTATACAGCTGAAAAGAACAGAAAAAGCTTTCATAATGTGTTTAGATCACATGCCTATGACTTCTCAAAGCTAAGATATAAACAGTTATATTATACCATGAGAGTGATATTGAAAAACAAAGCAGTGACTCACTAAAAGTGATAAAATTATACTTTTATTGAAGCTATAAGGTTTAAATTAGTCCTACTTTGACTTTCCTCTTTAAGGACTATGAGTGACATATCGTGATAAAAATAATTCAGGAAATTCACAAGACCTAATGTTATCATTTCAAGCTTCCTGAAATCAACCCAAAATAAAAAATAGCAATATTTAAATAAAAGTTATGTATGAAATCAAATATATCAAAACATTTTAGTTAATAAATTCAACATTGAAGTATTTTCAAACATAGTTTGGAAGAATAATATTGTAAGGTAATGCATTTGGGTTATCATAATTTGGATCACTCATTTAATATAGATGAGAACCTGCTCAAGTGTTTGAAAAAAATATATATATTGTTATAGTGATAGATAGGTCAGTCCTGCTAGTGTTCTGTTGTTAGTAATAAAGCTAATAGATATTGATTACAAGTCAAAAGAGGTAATTAGATCTCCTTATATAAGTTACTGGTTAAGCCTGTCTTGGAGTATTGTGTGTAGTTTTGGTTCCTTCCCTAAGAAAGGATCTTGACTTAATGGAAAGGGTTGAAGAGGGCTACTACTGTACTGTAAGATGATTCCAGAGATGGAGGGGTTAGGTTATGGTTTGAGAAATGAAAGGTAAGATGTAATCTTATTGAAGTTTATAAGATTTTAAGGGGAAATGAAAGGCTGTTTTAAGTCCTCTTATGTTTTTCTGCAGTATTCTAAAGATAAGAGGACACAAGTATAACATTTAGTATAATAGTTAAGTCAGTTTTATTTTTTCAACATGGTTGTTAGTTTACAGAATGTGTGGCAATAGTGTAAGCTGGTATAATAAAAGACTTTAAGAGGGGAATTGATGATTTCAGAAAAATAAAGGATGGATTTAAATTTCTACTTTTTCTCAGAAGTGGGTGTGTAGGGATAGTCTTGAAGGACCAAAAGGTACCTTTTTGTCTGTAATGTTATGATACCTTGCATACAGATAAGGTGTATCCACAAACATGTTTTAACAAACAGGAATTGTACAATATTGAGTAAATAGAAATAAGAATGTAAATGGATACTCTTAAGATGAGCAATAATAATACAAAACATAGCTATGTTTTCATTGTTGTTCATTAACTTCTTGTAGAATTAAGATTTTCTTTTACTAAACTGAATGTAGGTGGCATTACCACCCTTGGATGGGTATTCCATACTGATAGAGGTCAAATCTTGTGCCCTTTCACATGTTGATTGTAAGGTAAGGTTTATCATCTTTTTGATTATCGGGAGTTGATTAACAAAGTTATTGAGTATTTTTTGTGTTTAGTTAGCAGTAGTTAATACATACATGTGAATTTAATAAAAATATAAAAGTGATCTTTGGTGTTGGTTTTAGCTAATAATGGAGAGTAATGTTTGGTTTGCGTAACTGATATGTATAAAGAATGAATAAAAGGATCTGGAAACACAAATATGTAAAGGTATATTACTATATACATGTTACTATTAATCTCAAAAACTATATACAATCACGTAGTAAGATATAAAGTATAACCACATAATAAGGTAAATTATTTCATCTAGATCAGTATTCAGCTTCCCCAAAATTAAGTCTGATTATTATAAAAAAATTACGTTTTCTGATACAGTACATTACCTTAACTCACATAAATAGTTATTCTCATTCAGTGCTGTCCTCTATATGAAAAAAAAAAATTCCACAAGCCTTCTATCTTCCCTCCATTGATATTAACTGATTCCAATGTGCAAATCATCATTATAACAGCAATAAGAGAGTGACATACTCTAATGATACATGTGGCTTTCTTTATTCAATCCTGCCAAACTATCACTTCTCCTTTTTCGTTTGGTGCTCTTCTTATGAATTGTCATTTTATGAATTTAATTACTGAAGTGAGATTTTTTCATTATTATTTTTTTTTTACATTGAAGAAATATTTTTAACTTAATTTCCTAGTTTTTATTTTATTTTTCTCACACTCTTATATTTTACATCAAACACTTTTGTTGGGGGAGACCCGTTGTTGGACTTCTCTGCTATTATCCATTGTGAGATTGATCATTACATGGGTAAACCACTAATCCTCCTCAACAAGCTGAACCTGTTGGGGCCGATGAAAATTTGATAGTCTTTTACATCACCAGAATTTGCTGTGTTTTCCCTACCCCTCCTGCAGAATCAACTAGGCTTAATACAGCATTTTACTGCATGATTTCTCAGGTATGTTATCTTGTATCCAATTCTTTATTACCTACATGTTGGCTCATTTGTTGTCTTTGACTCTCACTTTACACACAGGGGTTTCACTGTAGTTGGGATTTTCTGGGTTGTGATGGGACCTTGTCTTGGGTACTTTTGCCACCTCTTTCTTTTTGGGATTTCAGTATCTTTATTTTGTGATGTCTTTTTGATAATGTATCTGTGACTTTGGAATCACATGTGTAATCTGTGCATCAAAACTTGACCCTTTCCTCTTTGGTTGCACGTTTGTTGCAGTTGTAGCCATGACACGCCCCTATTCCTTTCCTATCCTGGTTCTTATCTACCCCTCCCTGTCCCCCTTCCAGGGGTTTCGTATCTCATCCTTTTGTTCAATGTTGATAAGCATGTCGCCAACAGTACCGGAGACTAACCAGAGGGTTCCAGGTTCAGTGGGAGCTTGTCTATATTATATTGTTACCCTTTGGCAATCTTTCCCTACAGTTTAATGAGTTCTTCTGGTTTTATCAGAGGGACTTGCCATCCAATTCCTTTCGCCGCCTCATGTGTCCCTGGTACCCTTTTTCCTTCTCCATGACTTGGGATCCTGCCACCAGCCTGCATCTGTCTAAGGTGGTACAAGATTTTCTGTCTCTACAGGCTGTTTCACTTGTTGATCATCTTTCTCTAGGCAGTTTGTTATCCTTGCCCCAAACCAGAGACTAGCAACCTGTACTAGATTTGTCCAGCCTCATTCTAATTTTCAGTCTGTCCTGTTTTACCTTGGAGTTGTTCCTCACCCTTAGGTTGGCTTTTTCTCCAGGTTTATCAATGACAAAGTGGAATGTCGCAAATGCTTATTTACATATCCTGATATTTTGTCACTTGTGACCCTCTCTTTGGTTTATTGTCCATGGGGTGGTTTTTCTGTTTTGTGCACTGCCTGTTGGACTTGCTTTGGCCCTGTATGTTTTATTAGGCATTCAGAGAATTTGTTCATCAGGTAAATACTCTTGGGTTGCACATCCCTCTTTCTTTGGCCAACTGACTACTTTTCGTTCATTGCAAACAGGAGTCTGCATGTTACCCTTATAAGCTTCTCTTGGAAGCAGCTATAATGGGCTGTTAATGAAGTTCTAAAAGTCCTTACTGCAACCTATCCAATATCTTGTCCAGTTGGGTGTTTTTTATACACACATCTCAGTTGGGCCTGCCTTTCCCCTCTTCAACTTCTTTCAATGGGTTTTAAGTCAATTATAGTTTGGGAAGTTCTATCACATTTGGAGATGTGATATTCTATGATCATCTTAGCCACTTAGGTCAGGCTTATATGCAGGCTCTTTTGTGGGCTTTTCACAACCAGTGGAATTTCGCTGGGATCCTTTGTTGGCTTTTATTACTCTTCTTCCTATCCTTGTCATCAATTGCCATTGGTGGTTAGATATGACTCACACATAGGTGGGTATCCTGCTTCCTCCTCCTTATCTGGTTTTCCACATTTCATTGACACATCCCTTTGGGGATGGGGAGCATGGGATGATCAACTGGAAGATTCAAGGTTTTTGGTCTGCAGCTGAGAGGTCTTGGAGCTTCTCACTGTAGGTCATGTTTTGGTTCATTTTCTTCATCTGGCCAGAAATCATCTGGTAATAATCCATTCCAACTTTTCTTCAGTGGTTGCTTATTTCAATCACCAGGGTGGCACCCATTCTCAATCCCTCTGTATTCATACTTTGGATCTTCTTTTTAGGCTCAAATGCTTGATATTCCTATCATTGCATGTCATGTTCTGGATACTTTTGCTCTTGTCGTGGATCGGATTCCTGTCCAGACACCATTTATCTGACAGAGTGGTCTGCCGATCCTTTTGTTTTCCAGTGACTTTGACTTTAGTGGGGTACTCCTCACATTGAGGCTTTTGTTACATCCCTTAACCACACATTGCCTTGGTTTTGGTCTCCGGTTTCTCAACTTCTTGTTCTGGCTATCAGTGTTTTCAGCCAGAAATGGATGTACACATTTGTCTATCCTACTTCTCCAGGTGATTTCATTCATCCTTAACACACTGTTTTCAGTCCTTCTGATAGCTTTTTCCTGGCCATCTCAGCTGTGATTTCTGCAGCTTCTTTAGCTCCAACTTCCTCCTCCTTTACCCTTTCCTCTGTCTCCATTCCTTCTTCACCAGTGTTTCATTTACACCTTCCTATCCTCCGTCTTCATGCCTGGTTTTTCTCTGGCTATTGGCGAGTGGATCTGGCTTCTTTCGACAATTAGCCTCTTTTCTGGCTTGTTTCATTTGCACGTTCTATATTGAAATTTTTCAATGCCACTGGAATTTTTCTATTGTTTGTTTCTGGTCCAGGGTTTCCCCTCATCAACCCACTGTTCTTCGTCATGCAGATTTCCTCTCTTGACTTTTGGTCTTGGATTTTTCAAGTGGTCCTATCCCATACCTTTTGTTTTTCCCAATCACTCAGATATTTCCTTCTCTACACTTTCACTGTGAATGTGTTCCTTCTGGATTAGGATGGTAATGTAATCCTACACTGCCTCACTTTGGTTATGTTCGACCCATTCTACCAGTGCTCCTTGTTTCACCTTCCCTTATGTCTTCCTTCCTTCTCCTATTTGCCTGTGGACATCAGTGGTCCATTGATTTGCCATCAATGTTTAGCATATTCTTTATCCTTCTACATATCTTCCCCTTTTTCTGGATCATTTTTTCTCCCTCACACTTTGGTGGCTCATGTGGATAACTCTTCCGTTTGGTTGCTTTCTCTCCCATTTCACACCTTTATCCTCATCCTGATATGGATAGACTTCTATGTCTTGTACGTGCTCTTCTCTTTTAAATTGCCTGCATGGCTTCCTTCTGTGGTGTCCGTTCCTCCCTCTTTCTTCCTTGGCAACTGTTCATGTTCATGTTCTTTCTCTTTCCTTCTTTACCAATTGGGTTTGGCTCTTCATTCGATTCACTTCTTCCTCTTTATCATCTTCCTCCCATACTTTGTTCTGAGTGTCTTCTCACCCAGTTCGACACCTTATCTTTTCATTCGCTTTTCATCATCATTGTTCTTTGAAGGTAATTCTTCAATTGGGCATGTGGACTATGTTTGTCTCTCACTACTTGCATCAGATCATGGTTTTCTTCCTTTTTGGGTTATCATCTTCCACATGTAGCCATTCTAGAATATCAAAATTCAGTGAGACTTTGATTGGGTAAGTTTTTTGTTTTTTTATCCTTCTCAGGGGCCATATTCCCTTTTATTATTGTTCATTGTTTGGGTCCTGCTCTGTGGTGAGTAGAGCCTTTAACTGTTCAAATTCACACTGTCAAGCCATACTGATTTCATATTATAATTCCATAGCCATGCAACACGCACTGCAGAAATGGGGTGTTCTTCAAGATTGCTTATAGGTTTATCCTTGCGATAGAATTGCTTCATAGGTTTGCCCGTCCTGGACCGTACCCACCCATGGACTACATGAGTAAAGCAGAAGGGGATAGCTGCTCATTTCTGCCATGCCTTGTAGTGGATAAATTGGTATGGTCTGCTTTTAAAAATAGGGTTTCGTGTTCATCCATGGCACTGTCTCGGGTATTGTCGTTCCTCCAGTTTCTTCACAGTGTTTTACCCCCTTTTCTTCTTGTGGAGTTTGAGAGTCCATACTACTTTCTAGTTCCAAGCAGCTGGGGTGGTAGACTGTGGAGACATTTTCCTGAATGGGTTAGTGAAATACAAACAAAATACAGAAATGATAATAAAACTATTAAGTTGAGAATATGGTGGTGGTGTTCTGCTGGTGTCGATGACATGATATCCTCCAATATAAAACATCAAAATTGCAGTTCACCCCATCATTTGGGATCCCTCATCCTACACCCACATGGATGTCAGTTCCCAGTGGACAGGTTTGGATTTAGAATAGAACTAATCAACATAAGTCCTCACACATATATTACAGATGTCTATATTCTTCCATCATTTATACTCCATCAGTTTTGTGGGTCATGGTGGAGGTACTTGCAGCATTTT